AATCCTTTTCATGGTAATTCTATCACCAAAAATCTCATTAATAAGAGATTCTTTTGATATAAAATCATGTGGAATTTCAATCGTGTCTAGATTTAGTCCATCTGTATTTGATAATTTACCATCTCCGAGTTGCATTAACCAATTTGCAAATTCTTTTTCTTCCGCAGTTCTCATATTTTGCTGTAATTTAACCTTAATTACATTCCTCCATATAGGGTTGTATTTTACAGTCGATTCAATTATCGCTGTTTTGTGTAAATGAGGTACTACTGGAAGATTTTGTCTGAAATCTCCTGCAAATAAAATTACTTTTCCTCCAAATGGTTGATCATTCTTCATTAAATCCTTTAAAAGTTTATCAACTGCTGTTAAGGCATGTCCAACAGTCATGCTCACTTCATCCCATATGATTAATTTTGCATTGATCAATTCTCGTGCAGCTTGAGAATTTCCTCTAATATTTGATTTAGCTGCATCATCAATTGGAATTGTAAGCTTAAACAGAGAATGATAAGTTCTTCCTCCTTTCAGAAGTGTGGCTGCAATTCCAGTTGAAGCACATGGAAGAACTATTTCATTTCTTCCTCGAATAACACTTAGAAATGTGTTAAATAAATAGGTTTTACCACTTCCTGCAAACCCGTCAATAAAAAACAAACGCTTAAGTTCATTTTCATTTTTAATTGCTCGCATTACTATATCATACACGTATTTTTGTTCATCATTTAGTGTAGATAATAAATAATCACCACGTATTTTTTCTTCATCTACATTATACTCTGTTTCGTAAATATTTATTTCAGTTGGATTTGGTAATTGAAATTTCTCACAACTACTTCCATTATTTATCAGAATTTGTTGTATATGGTTTAACGCCATATTTTCGGGATTTACAACATTATTATTTACAAAGTCCTCAATCATAAAATCTGTGATCAAGTCAATAAATGCGTATGCACATAGGTGCGTGGATACGTGGGTGGGTGCGTGGGTGGATAAATAAAGTGATAAAAATTTGTTAAAATCATATAGTAGCCATCCCGGACAAAATTTGAATACAAATTTCGAAAAAGTCTGTGAATAAATGTTTGAATGCGTGGGTGGATGCATGGGTGGGATAAAACTTAAAAGAACCACACAGCAGCTTTCTCAGAAAAATTTGCAACATTTTTGTACCAATTTCGTGAAAATTGGTCCATAAATGCGCATACGCGTGAGTGGGTGCGTGGGTGGAGGTGTAACACTTGAAAAAACCGCATCGTCGCCATCTCCAAAAAATTTGCAACAATTTGGTACCGATTTAAAAAAATCGGTTCATAAGTATGCGATTGCGCGGGTGGGTGCGTGGGTGGAGGCGTAAACTTGAAAAACCCACACAGCAGTTTCCTCAGAAAAATTTGCAACATTTTGGTACTAATTTCGTGAAAATTGGTCCATAAATGCGCATGCATGTGGGTAAATGCGTGGGTGGGTGAGTGGGTGGAAGTGTAACACTTAAAAAAACCGTATCGTCGCTATCTCCAAAAATTTTGCAACATTTTGATACCATGTGTTCAGAAATATTGCAAAAAAAATTTTTTTTGCAAAAACATACCCTCCTCTGAGGAAAAAAAATAAAAATAAAAAAATTTAAAAAAAAACCCACAGCAGCCACCCCCGAAAAATTTGCAACATTTTGGTACCAATTTCGAGACAATCGGTCTACAAATGCGGAAGTAGTTCGGGTACAGACAGACAGACAGACAGACAGACAGACAGACGGACGGTGCTTATATATATAGATATACACATAAAGAAATTCGCGCACTCCATTCCGCACAAATTTATTCGGTCGCGCGCTCGTAGGGAAACGACTGTCTTTACTGTCGGTTTTACGAGGGCGCGTGTGTTTTCGAAGCACCATCCTCGTAAAAATGAGCTGCCGCAATATCTCCGCTATACTCTCGTCGTTCTTTTTTTCCTTTCACACTCATGGATCTTTAATGTCCGACATAGTGACCATTCGGGCCGGATACGCTGAGATAAAACATCCGTCCCTCACCTTATCTGACGCGTCCAAGTGTTTCCAGTGATATCATTTAACCTTTACGGTGACACCAGCCAACCGAGAAACACTTTCTGGCACATTGACTCCCATTTTTAATCTCATATTTTCTTCTAATCAGAAAGAGATAATGTCCACGGAAACGCGATTAACCAAAATTTATGCTAGAATATACATATAAAACCGAAAATATTAAGCGATAAGACAAACCACCCCTTTAGCGAAGATAATATCGAATTTTGCATTCTTTTTTATCCAGTGAAATTGAATTATTTGACTCGCATTTTTTTGCACGAGAATAAATTGTTTTTCCGAATAGTATTTATTTAACAGACAGTAATATCAAATGCGTCTTTGTCTCTCGCAATTTCTCTTGTTATTTCTACCTTAATAAACACGAAATAACAATATTACAAAGAGGCAACAGGAATCCTTTACTGATTGGCTGTCAAAATTCTTTCGAATGCTCATTATTGAGAAAGATAAAATCTCTTTAGTAGAATACATATATTACAATTGCCATCGAAAAGGAAAAAAATAACATTGAAATTAAAAATAATTAAATTTATATAATTATTATATTGAAAGAAAATTATTATTTTAACACAGAAGTACAGAAAAGAAAATATTTAAATTAATGTCAATTTTTTAATTTATTTTAATTGTCACAATAGTATATTTTTTTCGAGTGATAATGCCATTATTTTTTAAAAACATAAATCTGTAGATGTATGGCGCGTTCAATTATTTTTTTATGGTCGTGCTTGAGACTTATGAGTTGCGTGCATTCGTAAACGATTCGCTCGCATTTCAACCGGCTTAAAAAGCCAACTATGCGTGACCCCGTCGCACACAGCATGCATGATTCCACATAGAGACAAAGAGAAATTGCGAGAGACAAAAAGAGAGAGAGGAAGAAAGAGCGTTGGCGGATCGATAGGACAGCTTGTCGCGACGTTGCTGAAGAAACCACACGTATTGGCCGCTTTAAACGTTAACAATACACGAGGTGCGAATCGTTAAATTAACAGCACGACTGGGATTAGCCAGGAAAACGTTGAGCTTGTATGCAATATCCCAGTTAATTTAGTTACGAAGACATACAAATCGGTTTACTATAACTATAGAAGTATCTAAGAAAAAATGTGTTCTGGAGCAAAGCATAATTGTGTCCCATTAAAAAAAATATTAAAAATGACATTAAAAAAAATTATATATATATATTATTATGATGATTTTAAGATGTCAATTTCACAGGAACATATTAGTTTTCTTTATGCTGTGTAAGATGAGATTTATCGCGAAATATTGGAAAAGATTCTCGAGTACACAGTGTCACACATCCTTGACCGTGACATCGATCAAGATGTGAGAAATGACGAAATTCAAGTGTTCTATTTTGAGTATCACAAAAAAAAAGTCAAACCGACGGTTCGTATATTTCAAGAACATGTGGATCTTATCAGAGATATGTCGACGCATACAGGGATGATGTTTATTATAAAATATTCAAGTGGCAATCTTGGCACGGTTAGGTAAATTTTTGCAAGAAACATATTTTCCTTTGTGTTAATATCTTGAATCTCGTCCAAGGACGCGTAGCATAAATATTGTCGCTAATTAGTTCTCGAGCGAATAAATCTCGTTAATACTTCACGCGAGAAATTATTTTCCTTCCGTGCAAAATTCTTGCCGACTTTTCTAACTAGAGCTGAACTCGTGACAGAGAGAAACTGACATCTTACTTTTCTGTTATCTTACCTATTTGATTTTTTCCGACTGTCACGACTGCGATGACACTATGCGCTTTACAATTAGAACCGAGTTCGCTGAAGAGTGAGTCGGCGGAAAATGAAAGAGATTAAATTTCAACCTTGATGATGATTATTTTATATTTTTATATAATCACGCGCATCAAGAAATCGAGTTGACGTTTGTCAGGAAATTGGTATCGTACATATCTATTCTTCGTGGTTGAAGCCGAAGATAAAAGATACGGGTTTTTTTGCGATGCTACTCCAATAACATGTTTGCAAGTATAGAGCGGCATGATAAATTCCGCATCGCATCCAGATTGACGAGATTCGATGTAACGAGGTTGTAACGACGAACTTATATCGAGCAAGCTAACAACACTTTTATGTCACTCGAACGACAATATAAGCTTTACGAGGATATTAGCGTTGCTCTAGAACGAGACAAATTATTTGGACGCGGTTCCGAGACTTTTATAGGAAGTTTCGCAATTCTACTATCGAGTTCCTTTGTCTTCCTGCACGCGTATCTGTAAGTGAAATATCACCATCGTTGCGCAGTTTGCACATCGGTGTCTAAGGAGCATCCAGTAAACGTCAATCTGGAATATTTATCGCGTCGCACATTCGCTAATGGACCACGAAGCTTTGTGTACGTGCCTCGGCATAAATTTTCCGATGATTTATATTCTTGATTCTAACACCGGTTCGGTATTTCCAAATTTTATGGCCGCTCCTCGCCGCGACAGTCCTTGACACGCATCGAAGTGCCATCGACGTTCGCGATGGCTTTCAAGTGCTGTCGAGAACTTGAGTTCTTGAGCGTATAGATAGCACTTCAGCACTTTCTACTTTCCGAAACACAGACTTATACTCCAAAACGATTCAGACATTCGTCATTTTTTAAATGTGCACGAGCTAGGAATTCATTTATTATAAATAAAATGTACTTATCTTGAATATATATCGATCGTTTTTCTCACAAGATTCCGAGTCTGCGAAAACGCTCATGATTTCGTCAAAACTTGAAATAATTCCCGGTATTCGCAGGATTATTTTACAAGTAAATTAAACTTCTCGCAGCCGATCGCTCTCGAATATATTCGCCGCTCATACATACATTTATGATGAAAGCTCGACGGACGTGCGTCAGAGAGACGCGAATCTCCTTCGGTATCTGACTTGCTAATTTTCTGTTTCAGGAACCAAGTTCCTCTGCAGCGAGGTAATAGCGCTAATAAGGAGCGAGGTGGACGATATTTGCCTACAAATCATAAACTTCGAGGACCTGAGCTCGCAACCACCGCCGCAGCCTGCGATCCCGCCGCCAAGTCAGGCCAACAACAGGCTCGCGACACGCTGTATGTTCCAATTTTATATATTCGTTCTACTTCGACTCGTCCCGATGCGCGCACGTGTCCGAATTTTCGCACGAAAGTTTACCGCAAATTTTCCCCGCGGCGGCTCCACAACGAAAACATCTCTCCGGTCTCTCCTTCGTATGTTCACGAGAAACTTCCGCTGCCCACGATCTCTCTAATAAAATTTAAAAAAAATACACAAGCAGATATGAAATGTCCGAGCGAAATTTTAAAATTTTTGTGAGAAAAGAGAGATCGAAAAGTTTTCAGTCGAATTGCCGTACGTGCGGCGACATTCACCGATTGCACTTCAAGGTTGCGCCAGCCAAGTTTGATTGCTCTTATTGCGCAGTTAAATTAAATGATAAACTTGGGCCTAACATTTACACACGATATCCTGGCCAAGACATTTCGTGCTTCCCACACATATAACTTCCTGCGGGGCTTTTAAACACGGCTATCATTATTTCCCGCTGCACCGTCCGTTATAAGACATCGTCGCCGCTGACATTCGTGGCCGCTCCGTTCTTACAAGTGGAACGTAGTGTGGTGGCACACGTAGGCTACTCCTCTTGTGACGATCATTATTACGATCATAGATTCAGGTCAGGTGTATCCGCATAATGAACCACGTTACAATCCTGCGAAAATTCGGACGCGAGTTCTTTCGTATGCGCAATTATGTACATCGCTGCATTGTCATTTTCCCCTTTGCACGTGTGGATATATATATATATATATATATATATATATATATATGCATATACATATATCCTTTCGTTGAAATTTGAGCATCCTTGAATGCATGAATTATACCTTTATCTATTACTGCCACCTGTGTTAATGCAATATTTTCATATGCGAATGTGACATGTCTCTGTAATTAGACTTTTCTCTGGCGTTGTCGCTGCACAGATGCAGTATAAAATATGTAAAAGCTTCTGCGTTTCCGCAGTTGCTCCTCTGCATAATATCAGCTTCCACATGACATTTCCGTAGTTATTTTATCACAATTACAATGATATGCTATATAAGGACATAATTTATCCATGAAAAAATTTAATTTTTTAAGTTACTGTTAATTAACAAAATATCTTACATCGTAATTTTTTTATTAAAAAAATTCCAGAAATCTGTTTTGTATGTTGTTTGAAAGGGACGCTTGATTCATAGGTTGAAAAGAGGCTTTTATATAAAATATATATACTATCTGAATTCAATCCACAAGTACGTAGCACGTTTTCGCAATAAACTTCTCGCTATTTTTCTCGAACCAATTTAGAAAACATACGTATACACGCGTATTTGCATATATGCGTACGGGAGGACGGGACACGTGGTCGTGTTTTATATCTGGAGTGCTCGCGAAACTATTTTTAGAATGACGCTGCAGAGCGCTGGACGTGCGCGGCGCGCCTAACGGTTAACCCTGACCCGGTAATAAATGTTATGCCCTCGAATAGGTAGCTATAGACAGGTACCTTACCTCGCGGTTGATAATCCTCCCCCTAAGCAGCTCAGCTGATGGTTAGAGACTTGTAACAGAAATCGATCGTAATGGAAAGTCGCGTAGCATCAAAAGCGTGCTTGAGCAAATACCTTTTTCACAGGGCATCACGCACAGAAAAATCAATGGATGTGGTTATTCATCTCTCTTTCTTCTTTCTCTATTTTCAATCGATTTCAGAGAAACTATTATATTTTTCTTTTAATAAGAACTACTGTATTTTTTCTTTTAATTAACACGTGTAGGATTTATTTAGTATATCAATGAAGAGAAACGTAAATTTCTAATTTGTAAAATAATTTTAAGGTAAACATTTTTTAAACTCTTTATTTAGTATATTTCATAAATGATTAGTAGCTATTAATCATTAAAAAATATATTTAACGAATTGCGGATGAGATATATACGACTAACAATATATACATGTTCAATGTTCAGTGGTACTTTAACTCACTCAAGATACCAATATAACTGAATGCGCAGAAATTTTGAAAAGCCGATATAATCCTTTGATCGATAATTGTACATAGTTTGAAATTGTTCTTCCAAGAGCATAGTCCATTCAGTCTTAGTCTCATCAAAATGCAATCAATAACGGATTTGATGGAGTAATCCATCTTTTAAATAAATCGGTCATCTCATGCCGCGATTATTGCAATTAATAATCGTTAAATAATTACCAAGTATAATTAACATATCATTCTACACGCTGTAATTGTCAGTTGCCTCTGCGTATATAGGATTTAATCTTTCACATAAAATTACTTAAGTATTTACCCTTCTTTCTGTACACAACTATCCATCTCTAAAAATAGCTTCACTTTAAATTATTTACTTCGTCTCGTCATTTTTCAGTCTATGATTCCATATTTGTTTTCATCAATTTTCTTCCGAGTCAATGTGATATCGATTTAATTCAGGTCAATATCACATAGGAAAACAACTCGGAAACGATTCAATCAGTCCGCATTCTAATGGCACATTATTTTAATAAAGGAATCGCAAAGAGAGAACGATTCTTTCCGTTCAACGACAATCAATATCAATGCATAATCGAGAATGTTGTCGATCGTCATACATGATTGCACTCTCTTTTCACGGCTTCTCTTTCTTTATTCTCTTTCTTGAACCACATGCCAGAGGGAGGGCAATAAGCGATATTATGGCTGGTAATTTCGTTCTCCAGCTTGCGCGAATATTTTTTAATTGGAATTTCTTTGTCACGGCGGCGTTTCAAGCGCATGCATTTGCATACCGATTAAACGTAACGAGCAAATACCACGAATTTTCGTCGATAATCGCGTTTTTCAACCCGCCTTAACGCGAGTCGGACATATCGTTTTCCGATGAATAACGATGAATTTTAATACGACGACGATATTCGGATGAGATTTGAGGGATTTTAAATCTGCGACGCATATATATACATATACATATGTGAAAAATTATCCGTATGTCTCTTATTTCGAATGTTTCTTCGTGAAATTAAACGCGTCATTTTTCAAGCGGACAGATCAACGAAATTTTGGCGACGTTCGTAAAACGAAGGTTCAAAGACAGGCATAATATTTTAGGGAAAGTTCAACGGCCACGGTTGGCGCGAACTCAAGCAACGGAGCGGAAACGGGGATTACACATTCTGTCATCTGCATGCCAGACGTCGCGAAACGCGAGCGCTGGACGATGAATTAAAACGTTGTCTGACTTAGCTTTGTCAAGTGTAATTTTGCGGAGCGGCGTGGCAAATGGAATTTCTATAGTATACTCTAGATGTAAAAAGTTCGACGGACCGAACGTGATAATGTAGATTCGATAAAGTTAAATCAATCGTTAAGTTCCGATGGAGATAACTGTGTTTTTCGAATCATTAAGTTTGAACAGAGACATTAAGCAATAAATCTCGTCAACTTTAGATATCATATATTAAAATATGTAGCACATATAAAATTATACAAATTGTTAATATTTCAAAAAATATATGTATACAAGTATATGTATAAGAGAACTCATACACATTTTTTTAATTACTTTTTAAAAATATGTACAAGGGTAATTATGAAAACAGCGATGTACATTAAAAAATAATTAAAAAATTATAACAGTGTTATATATAATGGAGAGAGAAAGAGAATAGTATCAAATAATAAACATTACATTTGTCATCGCAAATTGTTTGGCAGCTTTGACGCCAGCTTAATCGAATTGCCTAATTGGCACTTAATCACGTACGCACGTTGTTCGGACATGTTAAAACATTACAATGCTTAACATCTCGCACGTCATTCTACATGCTTATTTTGCACGTTTTGTATAAATACGCATTAGCATCGCGTATGTAAATAATAATAAAAACTGTCGCGATGCATATCAGCCGTCGTGGAGGCGTAATTGCCGTTTCTTGCGACGGTATAAATTTATGCAAAGCGCTGCTTGCCACTTCGCTCTAACACACACCTACTACTAACAGTACTAATGAGACTCAATGACGTTGACTCGAGCAGTCGACAGGGCAAGGGCGTCCTTCCGGGCTGGCTTGTCGAGGACTGGTGTCGTTGGTCCACCGAGAGTCCGGAATCGACCGCGCACGACGACTAATTTGCCTCATCGACTTGCTGACGGGACCATCCTCGACGAGGACGCTTCTGAGAATTGGTGAGTTGCATTTGTCAAATTCATCGTCAACAATTTTGCGGAATTTTTGAAACAATTTTTTCATTTTAAAATGTTTATTTAATTTTATAAAATAGAATATTTAGTTAAATTCTAATAAAACTAACTTTTTAACCTCCTTTCATTATACACTCTATAAAGAAATTTAAAAAAATGTTTTATAGTAATTTAATTTACGTAATATTTATAATTTTTTTATTTCATTATTTAACTAATTTCTTTACAGTTAAAAAATTTCTGTTAAATTTAACAGATATCACGTGTCCCAAACAGTCCACAGAAATTTTTGTGTTAATTTAACATAATATAGATATGTTAAATAGAGACACAAATATTGTGTTAATATTTTAATACAAAATCAATGCAAAACTTCAAATAATTTAAAATCAATTTTGTGTAAAATTAACATACTTTTAATGTAAAAATTAACAAAAAATATGTTAATTTTAGATTTTATCATCCCCACTTATATTATAAAATAGAAAATCAATATTTTTTCTGTAAATTTTAACAGGTAAATCTTGTCACTAATAAAGCAGAGCATATTTATTGTGTAAAATTAAAAATAGATGCACATTGTGTTATTTTTACATTTTTCAGTTGTTTTAATCATTTAACATTTAACTACAATTAACAGAACAGTAATATGTTAAATGAACACATGACTGTGTTAAATATTTAACACACAAATTTTAACGGAGACCATTTGTAACAAGAAAACACAAATGTATCTAGGAATAGTTAGTCTCTTCTAATAATTTTTAGATGAAATAGCGAATGTTTCTTTGAAATAAAGGTTAGACATTTGAAAGTTTAATCATATTTGCCGTAATACGTAAACACAATAATTAAGATATGCGATTACATTTCGAGTTTCTCGTGCAATATTATTCCCTGCAGTCAGAGTGCAGGAGGTAATCAGTTCGTGTTATAGGATGTACCTCGGAGAGTATGGGGGATCTAATTAAGCAACATTGCATGGCAATCAGAGTAACGAAGCAGAGCTCTCTCTCTCTCTCGCCTCGCTAACGATATCGCGATACATCAGTGGTATCGCGACGATGAGTCGGGCAATCAACGGGCGGACGTATTGCCTTTTCGGTAGCTCGTGTTACCCGATCGATTACTGCGCAAAGTAGCTGGCGAGACATTAACAGTGCTAACATCGACTAACCTACATTCTCGTGGTGCCAATTACTTTAAAACTTTAGTCACGGTTTTGCCGTAGTCTCTAGCTCTATCTCTCTTCAACTTTCCTCTGTCTTTCGTCCTTTTATATTTTCAACGCTCTCGCGTCCTCTTAAACGAATTGGATTACCAGATTATCCCGTCCGCAAGATGTCCCAGACTTCTCGTAAACTTCCTTTTCTTACGCACGAACAACTTTGAACAACTTTGATTTATTTTGCTTGTTCGGCGAGCAAGTCAATCGAGTGTTGTAAAACCGCATGTTAGATTATCTTGGGAGTATTATTCAAATTCTGAGTAACATTTTCAGGATTGGTTTGTAATTATAGCTAGACTTTGGAGAAAACACGGTTGAATAAACAATCACGTCCAACGGAGGAACGTCAGACTGGCCGAAAGAGATCGACAAACAACTATCGAACTGTCGATCGGTTGTATCGAGCCTCTCCTCTGTATATATTTCATGTGATTCATAGATATTATAAACTCCCGCGAAAACGTTTTCCAATTTCTTATTTATTATGCTTTTGCAACGGTACAAGTTTAATTTATTCGTGCTTAGGATTCAACTTAGGGTTAATGTTGGCGTTAATATATCGCAAAAGCGACGTAAACGCAGTAAACCGATATTTTCCTTATTCAAGATTCCGTGAAATAATTATTCCGGGAAATTTTTGCGAATTTATTCTATGAAAATATGTGCTGAAAGTATTGGTTCAAACTGTGCTAAAAAAAAGTTGCCAAACAAATAATTTATCTGGATATATATCTTTTGTTTCTGCGAATGACAGACAATCAAAAATATATTTTATAAATCGTGATAGATTAAATTTGTGTACCGAATTATATATAGTAAATACATACATGCATATAAAATACGATAATAATATTACAAAATACATTATTTAAAAATGTGCTACGGCTTTATATTTATTTACAAACGTTCGATTTACCTCAATTTTGTAATAAACATGCACTGCTAAAAATCGTATATAAAATTTAAAATTTTCTGCATTCAAACAGAGGATATTCCAATTTGAAGTCATTTTACCTCGTGCAAGTTTTGTTTCGAAGAAGAGGCACACGCATATCCAATATGTACGGACAAACATCTCGCGGCGGATGATCGATATTGATATCGCGTTGCACCGGCTGGTGTTTCGCGATTCGAGTTCACCCGGCGAACACGCGGTGCAGTATCTGACAGTTCCGAAATCCGTACGATCGCAAGCAGCACGCCCGAGTAAACAGCCGGATGTTGCGGAAACGGCGACGCGACGGAAGAATACGTAAACAACGATCATCCTCGTCGTCGTCGTCGTCGTCGTCGTCGTCGTCCTCGTCCTCGTCGTCGTCGTCCTCGTCGTCGTCATCGGTAATCGATTCTGCTTCGTACGAATTACATTTCGTTATTCAGAGTTACGATCCCGAGAAATCTCCTTTCGATCGTCCCAGTCGATTTACGAGCGTCGAGACGCTCGTTAGAAACGAGACTCGGAGAACAAATCCGTCCCTTCGTGGGCCCCTTTTTATTCTCGAAGCATGACGTTGCGCTCCTCCGGCGGGCTTATTTCCGCATCGTTGGGAGCGCCGGATCGATCGATCATTTCTCACCGGGAGCAATTTCGGTTTCGCCGTACAATTCCGAGCGAATGGAGAATCTTGGGAATTCGAACGGCGCTATATATTCTCTCGTATCGCTTTTAATGCATGGCGATTCTTTTATACTTATTTTATACACGTTGCTATATTTCCCAACAGTTTCAATCCGATTAAAAGCTTTTCTTGGGCGTTTTTTTTCTTTTTTTCTCTGACATTGTTTTATTATTACGAACTAAGTTTATAAAAACGTAGAGGAAAAAGTATCAGAATCACAGCGATTTTACATTAATCTTTCCATTCACGCTCATCACAAATTGAAAATATAATTTATCATTATCTATTAAAAGTGAAAAAAATATGGGACGTTGGATATCGACAGACATTAATTACGCGATACGGAAAATATATCATAATCTCATGATATGTATTGGCTCGATACTACCCGAGGAATTTAATTTCACCCTCTATTTGTCTGCCGATGATAACCGCAAAGTTTTCCACAGTCTATGCAAGATTTAGTTCCAGCTAAAAGTTTTGTATATTGCAATAAAAAGATCTCGGAGTAAAGAGATAGAAAAATATGTTTTCGCCAGAAACTTTTCAATAAAAGACACCTGGGCTGTGCCTCAAGCTCGCTATGCTCAGAGACAAACGTATATAATTCCCGGAGTATAACTATCGAGGAAACATAATAAACAACCGAAAGTAGATTTACGAACCAGTAAAGGAGCTTTACTTAGTTTCTCTCTTGATACCTTTGATGAATAATATAGGTAACCAAAACACGATTCGCATGGAGAAATCGAATTTACTTCATACTCACCGTAGTTTCCATGAATTTTAATGAAGGATGTAACAAACATGTCTTCAATACGATCCGGAATATATGTATCTGCGTGATAGAATCGCGATTCGCTTTAAATATATGCATGCATATTATTGAAATTTGGGAGACGTATGTATTTTTTAAACAATTTTCCGAGACACGTCAATTTTTTATTCGACGAATTTGGAAAATTGCTTGCCAAAGTTTGCTACGACGTGTGTAAATCAGCAATTCGTATACTTTGCATTTTTATGTTAGATTTGATTATATATTCCCCGGCCTTGAAACTTTTCCCCTTCGATTGTCACGGGGAGGTCTACATATAATATGACGGAAGACAACCGAAGTAGAAACCAAGGGAGACGGTAGCGGTTCGTTTCAGAGTTGCAAGCTCGTGCACGACACGCAACAAGACGTGCATAAAGCACGTCGAGGACCGGGAAGCACGAAAAACGACGGAGAATAATGCGATCGCGCCTACGACCTTGAGGCGGACAGAAATTAACGGAGAGAAAGAGAGAAAGAGAGAGAGAGAGAGAGAGACAGGGCGACTCCGTCTTCAAGGTGAACCCGAGCAAACGAGGGTTGCACGCGACGATGTGTTACAATCGAAAAGCCAAGTAAAGCCTAATCGAGTCGCGCGGACACAATGCGTGACCGAAGATAGATGTCGAATGGAGAATGCGAGCTTGTCGAGCTTGCAACGCGCGCGATCGCACAATAAGCTCGCGAAGCTAAAATGGAGATTGCACGATTCTTCATCGATGTCGGCGCCCAATATCGGTGCACAATGTGGTACGCGCATATTTTTTACTTCGCAACGTTTATTATATTGCGTTTCTGATACATGATCAATCTATTTACAAATGTATGGATGTTACAGAACGTCTAACATTAAATGCAAATTGAAACGAATGCCTTGCAAATTACTACATCGTAAATATTTCAAAACACATTCAGTTTGACTTAGTTTCTAATCTCATGAATCATGAATCAACTTACTGTTGCATGAAATTAACCGAAGAACTGGCGAAATATATATATTTTTACGATCGTTTTTAAGCATCGTCAAGGCAAACGTAGACTTTTGCGAATATAATGTAAATCAAATGGCAGGAATAATTTAATAAGACAGAATTTTCGCAATCGCAAAGAGAACTTGACGTAATTCGTGCTTTTATATATTCAAACGGTTTGCCGAACAACATTTGCATCAAAATCCCGCGGTAGGGTGAAATGGCGTGAAGAATGGGAAGCAAACAGTTCTCTTGCTGTGCGGTAAAAGTCGCGGTAAAAAGGACGACTCTCTCTCTCTCTCTCTCTCTAAAAAGTCCGCGACAAGGACGCGAATCTCGCGGACGATGAA